CAGTCACCTCTTTCTTGTTTGACTCTCCAGAATTCTGGTTTCTTTTAGCTTTAACGTCAAATAAAGACAGGAACGTGTAAAAGAGGAAAATAAAATGACTAACTTAATTTTCAAAATCTTTACTACATTCCCCTCACAGCATTGTCAGGATGGAAAATTTCCCCACGTGCTGGAAAACAAAAGCATAATGGGTGCTTTTCTTGATTGTAACTGACACCAATTAAAGTAATCTTCATGATAAAGATTCATTAGGCTGAGACAGCAGAATTAGATGTATTTAATATGACTCTTTTGCAAACATCTGTTGAAGAAAGAAAGAAAACCAATGCCAATAGGGTTGTGTTAAAACTATTGTAACGTCCAAAATTTTGGGCCATAAGTAATTATGTTCTAATAAAACCTCACCGGAATAGGTCTCCTAAGAGTCATATAAATGGGAGATGAAGAAAATGTTACCTTACTCTTGACAAAAGCAAGACAAATCCTTACAAACCACATTTGGCTAGTTTTTTTAATACCAAAAACCTCTCAGAGGAGAGGCTATAAATGTTCCCAGAGCAGGAAGCTTTCCCGCTCACTAATCTTCAGTGCCATTCTCGCACTCCCAGACCACCACTGACAAAACCCCACACACCACAAAATGACTCTCCGATAGTATTTCAAAATAATGAATTAGCAATCCTTATGCTGACCTTGCAAAGGAGGAAAACATGCATTGTCTGAGAACACTCAGATTCAGGCCTTATTCCAGGAGCAGCTCTACAAATGAGAGCTTTGAAAGAAGTGCACTGTTGTCCAGGTAGCCTAACTGCCATCGTATTTATTAATGAAGAACTCCGAGACCAAAACCTTTGGCAATGTCCCAATGGAGTCAATAAGGAGTGTCCTGAGAGAAATATAAACAGGTCAGATCTCAAAGGAATAGCTCGTGCTTGATCCAACAGCCCAAACTGAACAACAGCCACTTCCCACAATAGGTTTACAAACCTCACCAAGCCTGGGAAGGGCCGGTTCATCCCTGACAACAGGGGGCCATTCTATGTCTTTAAATGAGTCTGGGTTGTTAAGTCTCACGCTTTCTAAAATAATGTGGAAGTTGCTCAGCAAGTTATAGGCAAAATTTCCCATCCTGAGAGATGGGAATCAAAAGTGTAAGTGTGAACGTTAAGAGCCCTGTGATGTGTGTAAATACTGTCACCGAGGAACCACACATATACATCCCCAAAATAGACGTGCCAGAAAAGTTGATAGTAAAATTCATGTATCACTCACTTAGGTATGAAATCTGAAATACATGTAAAGTTATTCTAGGGGAAGAGAGAATGGACAATTTTGTGGAAGGAGGATATTCAAACCCATGGTCACAAATGAACTGTTACTGTATTTGAAAAGAAGGGCCTCCTCAACTGTGTAAGGATTGAGTTGGGTAAGCAACCCTCAAACATTTCTAATCCTGCTTGCTTTTCCTCATTAGGTATAGCCCTGTAGAGGGAGTGAGAGGCACACCTCTCCTTCTGGTTCTCTTGAGCTATTAGCCAACTCCAGGAATTTATGCAAAGGTGAGCAGAAAAGGCAGTTTCTTTTCACCTGTTCTTTGTGCACCAAGTTCGTTTTAGGGAAGTACGTCTGTCGATATGCTCAGAATAAGGTTTTTTAGGTTTTCCTGAGAAGGGGAGCTACTTTTTAATTTCTAAAGTCCTTCATTAAGAAGGAAGAAAGGCAGAAAGGACAATGGAAAAGGATAAAGTTCTATAATCAGAAATGAGAATGGACAAGGCTGTTTCCCTCCTCCTGGGCCATTCCCTCCTTCTGGGCATCCCACTATGAAATTAAAGAGACCCAGAGGTCAGTGGCTGGACCAGAATCAGGAGCACTGACCAGATGAGGACGCTTTGCTTTAGCAGACTTTGTGGGAAAGTTGTAGGAGACAAGAGCTCACAGCCCACAGTTTTAAAGACTATCGACAAAGGCTTCTAGCTCATCCTTCCTGAGCCTCAAACATACCGTCTAGAATTCTAAACCAAAAAAAGACCTGAAAACAGCAAGAAGACTTAGATAACACTGGTCCAGTGCTGGGAGTGACAGCAGTGGCAAGTTTTGTTTTAATCTAGCTTTACACCACCACCTTTTTTTTTTTTTTACTTTTGTACATTTTATTTATTTTTTTAAAAATAGTTTATTGTCAAATTAGTTTCCACATAACACCCAGTGCTCATCCCCACAAGTGTCCTCCTCCATGCCCATCCCCCCCTCCCCCCCACATCCATCAGTCCTCAGTTTTTGTCAGCATTCAAGAGTCTCTCATGGTTTGCCTCTCTCCCTTTCCCCCACCATTTCTGCCCTTCTTCTCCCCCTTGTTCCTCCATCAAGTTCCTCCTAATCCTCCTATACGTGCAAACATATGATATTTGTCCTTCTCTGCCTGACTTATTTCGCTCAGCATAACACCCTCAAGGTCCATCCATGTTGCTACACATGGCCAGATTTCATTGCTTCTCATTGCTATGTAGTATTCCATGGTATAGATAAACCACATCTTCTTGATCCATTCATCTGTTGATGGACACTTAGGCTCTTTCCATGTTTTAGCTATTGTGGAGAGTGCTGCTATGAACATTGGGGTACACGTGCTCCTATGCCTCAGCATTTCTGTATCCCTTGGGTAAATTCCTAGCAGTGCTATTGCTGGGTCCTAGGGGAGTTCTATTGTTAGTTTCCTGAGGAACCTCCACACTGTTTTCCAGAGGGGCTGTACCAGTTTACATTCCCACCAACAGTGTAGGAGGGTGNATTAAGCCATCGGGTCTTTATCTTTAGTCCCTATCAATGTAGATGGCCCAGTGTTAGGGTCTGTCTTCCTTAATGGGGTGTGCGGGGTCAGAGCTAGCCATGGGAAAAGTTTTGTACCCCACAGAAATGTCCGCAATACAAAAAATTTGGAGAGAACCAGACGAGAGAGGGAGAAAAAATACTTTAGGAAGGCTTCCATTTATAGAACCAACCAGCAACTCTGTAAGGAATAGAATCCATTTTCTAAAATAATCCCAGTACCTCCAGCAGACCTCCAACCAGCATCCAACACATGGGGGGGGGGGGGGGGGGGGGAGGGCTTAATTGATTATCACTACACCAATGGAGACAACTTGTGGCAGTTCAAATCTTAAAAGAGATCATGATTTACCATTAAATATTTTCGGCTGTAGATACACCCTGCATACATCCAAACCCTTCCCCTCCTGCTCCCCATCATCATCCATGACGTGGTTTAAGAGTCTGCTTCCTCCCTTGAATCCTGTTGGTCTGCTCTGGCCCTCACTGCCTCTCTCTACCACACAGACCAACTCAACGATGTACACACTTGTATGACACTGTCCTTGATGAAACCGCTGGCTCCCTGAGGGCAGGGATAGTGCCTCCCATGTATGTGTCTCCTAATGCTGGTCTAGGTCATTGCTGATCACGCAGGCTTGCTGGACCACACTGGACAAAAGATACATGTGCTCTCCTATCATAGCCGATGGCACAGCAGATCTGTTCCTTCCCAGCTTTGTCTGTCTCTGGTTAGGGTGCTACGTGTCAACAGAAGAAACCTTTGGACTAAGGCAGAATAGTGAGGGGACAGTGGGCTCCAGGAGAAGGGGGCTCTGGACTCCCTTCAGGGTTGGATGCCGCTCGTGTCTTCACATTAGCTCCTCCCGAGGTCCTCCTGAGGTTCAGGCAGTTCTCAAAGAGCCACCTTCCACCAACCCACACACACAAACACACACACACACACTGGTAGGAGCTGAGTTGTCTGGAGACTCAGACCCCAAGACGTAGGTTACAAGTACCGAAGATAGGCTCAGTTATCTTGAGTGTCCTTTCTGAGGTATTCACCAAAAACTGTAGGAGCATCAGGTGCTCTAGGTGACTTGAGGAAAAGAAAGATTAGAAAGCATAGCAATTGAGAGCATAGATGCTAGCTGTATTGTCTGGGTTTGAATCTTGAGTCCCAACCATCCATTTGGTTAGCGGCATGACCTTGAAAATTCACTTAACCGCCTCTGCATCCTTCGGTTTCCTCACTTGGAAAATGGAATACTTCATAAGATTGTTATGATGTTTGAATTATTTAATCTGTCTGGCCCATAGTGAATGCTATAAAACTGTTAACAATGGTCACCATCATTGAAGAGACCAGGACAATGCTCATGGGATCCTCTCCTGCAGGCTGGGGAGGGAGAGGTGAAGAGGCTGGGAGAGCCAAAAAGGCCTAAGACACAGGTTCTCAGAGTATAGTGCCACCCCCAGCCTGCCCAGCCTCTCCCACACACCTGGGAACCTGTTAGAAATGCAAATTCTAGATCCCCATCATAGATCTACTAAATCAGAAATTCTGCTTACAAACCCCTTTGGGTGATTTGGATCCAGGCTGAAGTTTGAGAACCAGTGGTCAAAGGAACTAAGAGAAAAATCAAGGCCTTCAACTTCATCAGCAGGTTAAGGCTGATGTGAAACCAGGTAGGAAAAATAATATCCTACCAGGAGGAGGGCTTAGGGGAATCAATTCAATGGGTGGCAGGGACCTATTTTTAGAGGAAGTTGCTGGATTTTTAAGAAAGTAATCAACAAATAAGCAAGAAAAACATCATAATATTTCTAGGACAGGGATGATCTCTCAAGTGTTCTATTTATAGCAACCTAGCTACTAAAAAGGAGTGACAGCACCTTCAAAGGCTCCACAGGAAAGCCTCAAACCAGCCCACTTGGGTTTCAGAATGCAGTCAACCATTAACAAAGTCTGACCAGGCCTGGGGGTGGCTTGGGATAAAACACAGGTGAGAATTACCATTTGAAAGTATCTTTACTGCAGAACCATACCCTCAGGAACCCCTCCCACAATGCCCCCCCCACAACTGCCAACCCGGGGTTCTGCGCTGAGTTCTGCGCTGCTCTAAGAAGGGTGGAGGTGGAACTGCGGTTGGCCCAGAAGAGCCTGGGCCACACAGCCAGAGCATTACCTCTAGACGGTTGCTCCGGAGAGCCGTTAGGTGAAGAAGTATCAACTCACAGGTCCAACGATGAACCACGAGATATGCAGCAACAGGAGCAAAATTCTCGATTAGTGGACCATAAGATTTTGCTGAGTTTGGGGGAGAGGGCACAGACGCTGTATAGGTTATATGGAGCTGAACACATTACATTGAACCTGATGGTAGGTGAAAAGTTGTGCGTTGATGGAATTATCACATAAGGGATTGCTCCATCTCCTCCCTCTCCACTTTGTCCTCCTCCTTTTCTCCCCTCCTCTGGTGTCCACTGGGCACAGCTCATCATTATTGAGTGTCCAGCTGGGTATTGTGATGTCAGAGGCATCACCCACAGTGGACGATGCTGGAGGAGACTGGTGGCCCAGCCGTGTTTGGTGGCCTTGACTCGGGCTCCTGTGACACCACGTGGCACCACGCTCCCTCCATTTGCTGATCGTATCTCACACCTCATACATCTCTGGAATCCTTTATCCTCCCCTCCCAAAACTAATATTGTGCTTCAGGGAAACTGAGGCACAGAGAAGCTCATCCAAGGTCATGCAGCAACACTCTGGTATGACCATGAACAGTGCCAGGGTTTCCTGACCACTCATCCACACCAGTCCAGGGGCCTCGGCTGCCTTTTATAGAAAGTTTCCACACACCTTCTATTCCTAACCTTGATCACAAGCATCGCCGGTCCACATGCTTTGGAAGCACCAGCAGACTCTCTGTGTCACAGACTTAGTAACGCGCCCCATTTAGGACCATGAGCACAACTTGTCTGTACCGGACGTTGAGTTCTAGATACTCTTATTGGGCTGCATTTTTGTTTTTATTTCAAACACAGCCAACTAATCAGAGTTTTCTACGTTCAAAAAGCCAACTTTGATTCTCCACGAAAAACGAGCAGCTTACCACACACACCCTTTCCGGATCATCCCCGAGATGCCAAGGACATCATGGATCCACAATTTGGGGTCGGAAGAATACTTTGTTCCTAACTGCCCATGGTGGGGGGCAGTACCCATCTTTTTTGTTTTTATTTTGCAAGCTCATATTAATAGTAACAGAACATGAAAGATAACCCAATAAAAAGTGTGTGTGTGTGTGTGTGTGTACACACATACACACACATATACTTATCAGAATGTCTTGACCTTGAGATTAAAAATGGGGTAAGGCCTTTGGAAGAGAAGGATGCAAGCCCCTCAGAAGATCTGTAGACGAAGGTGAAGAGCAGATATATAACCTTTAGCACATGGCTTGCTCCAGATTCCAGTACCTAAATAAAGCCCCAGCAAACCTACACATGGCAAGAACTGGCTCACTAATAAAACGAATGATGGGCCAGGATAGGGAGGGCTCATCAGTCAGTAAGGTGACTTGGTTTCTCAACATGACAGAAGTACATTTCAAGTGTGTAGTAAATAAAATAAAAGTTCATTGTAAAAGAGTCCTGACTGTCCCCCATGTGATCCGCCTTTGCTGCCTCCTCATGTGACTGGCCTCCCAATTTAGAGCGTAACCAACTCCCAGTGACCTGTAATAACACCATTCCCAAATTAGAGCTCTCAATTTGACTTGGCCTCGGTCCCTCCCTCAAAGCAAAATAAAGCATCCGTTTTCTTTTTTTCACATTCATAATACTCTTCTTTTTGAGTTGCCAACTCAAACCCTGCTCCAGTCAGATTGAGCCCTTCCTCTAGTTTTTTTTTTTTTTCTGGTTAGCCAAAGAGCCCGATGGAAAAACACCAAGAGACAAAAACAAAAACAAAATCAGACAAAAATTCCAAGTAAGTGACATTCAGCTGGAAAAGCTATGATTCACATGCAAATAAAAAATCTCCCTGAATTCACTGTTATATGACGCAAGCCTCTGGCTTCGACATAAAAAGGGCAGAATGAAATCACCCACAATTAAACTCACTCTGGAATACTGGAATTCTCTGGCTAGGCCTCCCCAGCTAATGATAAGAAAACCCCCAACTGTGACAGAATGAAGCTAATTGTGTTGGATCCCAGGGCATCCCCACCTCAGCTGACACTCATTCCTGAACATTCCCCAGCCCGGCATTCTCCACCTTCCCTCACCCCCAGGCCTGGACTCCACATAGCCTACAGGGAGATAGGGCTCCGACGGGTCTCCCAGGGAAAGCCCTCCCTTCTGGGCAGACTGAGGGGACTGTGCTGAGAACTCTGGACCTTGCCTCCCACTCCTAACCCTCAACCATCACACGTCTTTTTTTTCCTCAGGGGAAAGTTGGTCAGATACCACTTTTTTTTTTTCCCAGATGGCTCCCTCAGGATGTGCACTCCATATGCCTGAGAATCACAGAATTCTGGAGATGGAAGGTCCCTCACAGAGTCTCTGGCCCTTCCTTTACTATGCGTGGGGGTCCCACCCCATGATTCCTCTGTGATGCTCACCAAGGCTGAGCTCCTCCCTACCCATCGGGAGCCCACTTCTACCATCAAAGAGGGCTGGATTATTAAAGACATAATTGGCCTCTCTGCAACTTCTTCCCATTCAACAAAGGTCAATTTCTCTGAAACCACAAAGAAGATATCTAGAGGTACTTGTACACCCATTCATAGCAGCCTTATTCACAATTACCAAAAGCAACCCAAATGTCCATCAACAGACGAATGGATAAACAAAGTACGGTACATACATACGATGGAATACTACTTGACGTTTAAAAGGAATGAAATTCTAATACACGCTACAGCATGGATACAAACGGAAAACATTATGCGAAAGAAAGGAAAGCCAGGCACAAAAGGACAAATACCCTATGATTCCTCTTATAGGAGTACCTAGAGTAGGCAAATTCACAGAGACAGAAAGTAGCATGGCGGCCACTTGGGGTTGAGAGGAGAGGGGTAGCTATTGGTTTAATGTGTGAAGAGTTGTAGAGTTTCTGTTTGGGATGATGAAAAGGTTTTGAAAATGCATAGCGGTGACAGTAGCACCACAAGGGGCATATACTCAGTATAACAGAACTGTACCCTTAAAAGTGAACAAATGGCAAAAGCTATGGACATTTTATTACAATTAAAATACAAAAAAAAAATCTATTCCGCCTTTCACAAGATAGCTATCTTCCTAAATTTTCTTTTCCAGGCTCAAAATCTCCAGTTTCTTCTAATAATCTTTAGATAATATGATTTCTAGACCCTTACAGCTTTCTGGCCACACTCCTCAGGTTTACTCCGTGTCTCTTTGAAAATCCGGCATCCAGAACCAAACAGCAGACTGTGCAAGCCACCTCCCGTCCAGGGTCCCCCTCTGAGGCACCCTGCTTTACCCCCAGACAAAAGCTGCACACAGGGAGCCTCTAACTGCCTATTTGGGCTACCTGAGCAAAAAGGGCCAGGTTCAAAAACCTGCCATATTCCACCCCCATCTCCTACTGCCGCTTCCTCAGGCCCAGATCCACCTCCCAGACAGCTGTGGGCAGCTGCAGCTGAGAAGTGAAACCATGAGAGGCAAATAGAGTGTGTGAAGTGGGGCTGCGTCTTAGCCTTTCTAGATTTCCCTCGTTTCTCGTACGTGTTTGGCAAATGGAGACAGGACAGGCCCAGGAGGTGTCTCTTTCCACGCACTCGGGGTGTCTCTTAGCAGTCACCCACCACCAGGCTGTAGCCACCATCGTGGCGTTCAACAGTGTGGGCTGAACCAGTCTCGCTGGGCTTGGCACACGCGCCCCTCTCGCTCCTTCTGGAAAAGCTTTGAAAGTTTGAGGTAGGAAAGTTCCCTTTTGCATTTTAAAGTATGTTGAAACTGAACAGCCTGGGTGTTGGTCTGATTCCACAAGTGAGTAATCCATTTCCTGAAAGTAAACTGCTCACCCTTTGGAAGTGGACCAACGATTTTGGGGTGCCGTTTGAAGTGTCGCTGACTAGGTAAATATTTACAGGCACTAGCCATGGAGCTTTTCTAGGAATGTCAGTTAATTTGCTAAATTAATGACCCTTAAGGTGGAACCCTTAAAAAAAGTTAATTCATCTCTAACGGGTGAATAATTTATACCTGGGACAAGGTATTGATTGGGAAGGGGGTGGGGTGGGGTATGCTTGACTGACTGGTTAGAATAACCACATATAAATTAAAACCAGTCCTGACTTAAAAAATCTCTATCTTCTGACTTTTTTTGACTCCTGATTTTCTATTAATATCTGAGCCAATGATGGGTTGACTTTGGAAAACTCTTTTCTATGCCAATATTTTGCCTGGAGTTTGAAATGATGAGATTTTAAACAATTCCTTCTTGGTAAGTCTACTGGCTTCGGGGATTCCACACAGAAGATCTAACATATCCACCACTCACTAAAAGCCTGTGCCCACCTGACTATACCTGGAGATTTGCCTCCACATTCTCCTGTGTGGACAATTTTACACTTCAATCGGCTGGCTTGAAAGAGCCTTTTGCCTTGAATAATAAAAAGTTGATTTCTTTTTGGCTCAAATGATCACTTAAACAATTCTTTCAAAAAGACTCCCAGGCCATCTTCTCCTCTGCCCTCATAAGACAGTCAGTCTAGGGGCACTTGGGTGGCTCAGTCAGTTAAGCGTCCAACTTTGGCTCAGGTCATAATCTCAGGGTTCGTGGGTTTGAGCCCCACGTCAGGCTCTTTGCTGACAGCCAGCTCAGAGCCTAGAGTCTGTTTTGGATTCTGTGTCTCCCTCTCTCTCTGACCCTCCCCTGCTCACGCTGTCTCTCTCTCTCCCTCAGAAGTAAATAAAACATTAAAAAAATTAAAAAAACAAAAGACAGTCTGTAAGAAGTAATCTAAATGTTCTGATTAGTATGTAGCTAGATGAATGTTTTTGGAGCTCTGTTGAGAAGAGGAGTTTGTGTGTATGGTGGGCTCAGAGGGGTGAATAAGTCAGGCTGAGAAGTGATTCTCAATGGCAGAATCATGGAAGCTTCTGAATCTGTCAGAGAGGTCATCTGGATTCCCAACCTCATGCTTAGCCCCCTCCAGCACTTCTCTGTCTCTGAACAAGCCTGATTAGTAAAGAATTTAGGAATCACATATGACTGATGGGCTCAGGCATCACCACCCACCACGTGGGTCTTCCCAAACAGAAACTACCTTTGAGCCCTGGCATGGTCCTGTGCCTCACACTCTGTCCTGTCTTACAACTACTTGTGCCTGGGGTTTAGGCCAGTCCTCTAAGACTTCCTAGAATCTGATGCCATCCCCCTGCCACTCCATCGCCCTCAGGGGTCCCCAGAAAGGAAATGACTACAAGGGGTGCCTGGGTGGCTCAGT